TGGAAACTTTTCAATAACCCCACGACGACGACGGCGACAAGGCGAAAACCTTTGTCTAGCGGGAAATTTAATAGAAAGGAAATTATACAAACACCGCCGCGATATTGGCCGGGACATAATATTGCTGTTATTGGAACCGTTCGAATTTAATCAAAGGAATTATGTTTATTCGAATCCAATTTCACGGTTAATTAACTGTTAGTTTGTAATTTTGATTGCATCGCTATTATATGAAAATCGCGTCGCATTCTCATGAATGATTGATTAATAACCGATCGCTTCTACATGTGACAAGCGGAAGAATTTTATAATAAACTGGTTGTACATCAGTAAGTTATTTTGTAGATTCTACAAATCCTGTATTATTGAAATAAGGATCATTACAACTGCATTAAATTATGCGATCCTCGCGTATAGCTTTACAACGCTTCGAATTCGTATCGAATCGAAATAGAAAAATCGGTAGTGATTTTTCAAGGACTAATAAGCAACCTTATTTTCCACGACGGCGTTCGGTCCTATTACATTCCGCTGCGAGGCGGTTCATTAGTCACATTCGCATTTCAAAAATAGCTATCGTGTCGATATCCATATATACTGGGCCGTAATTGCCGATATTCAATCGATTCGGAAAACGAGTAGCGTGTGGAAACTCCATATATATCCGAAAAAAAACGGGCCTTTTCCCGTGCATACGCGCGACAGAGATCCAGTTGCAATTCGGCGTGTACGGGAGCAATTTGAATTTTTTTTTCCCCCCAACGTCCGTATAACTGTTTTAACTAAGCGGTTTTCGGCTTTTATGATTATGCAGGCGAACGTGGGTGTTTTTTTTTTCCGCGAGAGTTTCGTTCGAATTGCGGACGAGGACGAAGCCGAATGGCCGGCCGTAAATCAAAAACTTTTTACGAAAGGCTAAATAGGATTTTCCGAAAAAATAAAACGACAAAGGAAAGAGCGCTACTTACATAGCGAATTTTTTAATTAACGTTATTAATTAGTTTTCTGCCCTTAAATCAATATGAAACAAAGTTTAAGATGAAAGGTGGGGACCAACATTTTCTAATTTCAAGTGCACGACAATAAAATTAGATGTGTATATTGGTTCTTATTTTATTTACGAATTGTAATAAAATTTATCGGTTAAGATAAGAAAATATATTAATTTATGACAGTTATAATAAAGAAGAAATATCACATAAATTTTATTGGCCAATAAAATGACAAGTCAATCACCAGTTAATAGTTAATACCTTTGAGTAAATGCATTTAATACGCTTTGTAATAAATTTTAAAGCGGAAAAATTATAAATTTAAAATTCCCGTAGCTTTTTCATTTTATACTCTTACATATTTTTGCATTTAATTACTGAATTGAAGCGAGTTAATTCTTGTATTTTCAATTCAGAGTAGCAAAGAGGTATATTAATTACATTAACAACCATTTCTATTCTCTCTCGAAGTTTACATACAACCCGATAGGAGAACGAGATAGGTTCCTAACTAACGAACCCAATTAATGCGATATTAACAACGTTTAAACCACACGAGGTATCTTATTACCATCAATATCCATTAAAAATCGATATTAAAATTTTATCAACAGGAATATTGCTCTAACTATAGAAATACGGTCCCTTCTCAAAACGGAATATTCTCCACCGTCTTTGACACGTCAAATCCGGGGAATAAAGGAAAAGGGAGAGAGAGTATCCTTAGAAACACTTGACGGGAAACATTGTAGAATTTTAGCGAACAGAATAGACAGAACGATGACGACGCCAGTCTGGATTTGATCTCTAAACGAAAACAATAACGTTACCGAGATGAAAGGGGGCCAAAGGACACAATGAAACTGGAGAAAATCAAGTTGTAATGGTAACGCGGAAATTTGATTAAAATTAATAAACATCGCACGCTCGAAGCCGTAATAATTTAGCTTTTAATCAACACGACTCTAGCTGATTTTCTATAGTTATTCTTCGTTTTTATAGTTTGCTTCAAATCGCTTTCCGGCGAGTAACCGAAAATTTCTTCACCTCAAAACAGGAACTCCGCAATTCTTGAACCGAAACGCAAGCCGGGTGAACGAACTCCGAGATTTTATAAAACGCTTAAAAAAAAAATTCTCGGCATTGTGTCTTGCGAATCGTTTTACTTCACCCCAAGGTCGCCTCGCGTTTCCATTTCGTCGTTTTCTTCGTGTAATTAATTTAATAGATTCGAGTCATTGTAGATGATGATATTAATATTTCGATTCGACTGGTTTTTTTTTTTAGCGTAATAATGGAACTAAAGTGATTCGACCGGTTAGATAAAGTAGCCGATGGTAATTTCCGAAGAGTGGGTATATTAGTTTTTAAAGTTTCTCTAAAATAGTTGTAATTATCCAAGTTAATGAGTAGCGTTGAAATTAATTATTGTTTGCGGAAACAATCGCAGAGTAATAATTATTAATCGAAGCGCCATCGAATTGACAAGCTCCTGCATCTCTTAATGAATCTTATTCCAGTCGAATTGCGTACGTACGTATGTAAATTGCCCAACATGCGATCGCTAATTTAAATTACCTGTTACTCCGGTTCCGTTAGAGTATGATAAATGCATTGGATAATCCACCTATACGCTTACAAATAGTCGAACATAGTAAAATAAACCCGAATCGATCGATCCATTACATTTGATAAATTGTGTTGTATAGTCGTCTAAATGGGAATTTTGTAATTGATCCGAATGATAAAAAACAGATATTGGTTGTTGTACAAACGATTATACATCATTTTCGTAGCATCAAAATTGCAAACAGTTTGATTAATTCGAGAAATGCTACAACAAACAATAACATTGTTCGATGCATATAAATATTCAACATATACGTTTCCAAAACTGATAAAAAAAAACGTTATTAAATCAACGATACGAGTGACAAACGACTCGAGAAGTTTTCGAATTCTCGACTACAAAACACCATTTCCATAAATCAACCCCCGACTTCGGTAACGGTGCTTCTTATATCCTAAACATTATAACAAGCACGAAAGTACATCAGTCAAGCTGTCCTGCTGGAAAAAAAAAGAACACGGTCAGCCCTTACGCAGGAAACTAACCCCGTTCAAACGCTCCCTTTTCCCTTTATATTCCCCATTCATTCGAGGTGTTCAACAGCCCCATCCATTTAAACGGGGAACGCGCCGTCTGACAATTCATCAAAAAAAAAAGCCGCAAATTGCCGTGAGGTTTGAGGATACCTTCTCGAGGAATTGTATTATAAACATTAAAGGATACAAAAATTAGATGTTTTATTGAATTTAAAATTTTGGCGGATGTATTTTCAAATTTTTGGTGTATGCTTCACCAATAAAAGCTGCAAAATTTGAAACTGGTGGGCATTAATTTACCCAATTTCTACTCATTATGAATGACCCTGCATTCCCCCGTATCCTAGTGAAATTACCAAACCTTCATTAAAATAAAACAACCCCATAAAACATGTAAAGTCCTATCATCGAACACACCCATGCTCGCGAAAGGGTTTAAAGGCATTTATCATTTTTTTTTTGGGGTAACGATCACGTGAAACGAACGACCTCACATTTTTTTTTTGTTTAGCGCTCAACACGAAAATCCGTTTTTCCGGTGTCCTTTTAACTCTACCGACGTAAGACTGTGGGCGATATAACGGAATTAACTCGGAGGGGATTCGGTCGATTTGAAAAGGTTTATTGTATTCGGACTTTTTCTTATCCATTCGTCGACGATCCTCGCTAAATTTACTACGTTAACTGAGTAGAGAGTTTGCCCAAGAGAGTCAATTATTGATAGAGATCATTTATCTGTCCGAAGATTATTTGTCAAGTGAAGTCTACACCTCTTTACCAACTAAATCACTCTGTATTTAAACTAAAACTCGCAATCAGTTCGTAAAGTAAATTATCCAAACTCAATAACAATATTAAGATAACAAGTAACTAGTTTTGGAACTAAAGAAAACGTACGTATAAAGTTAAATAATGAAAACTTCGCTTTAGTGCAGTTGAAAGTTTACCAAATATTACTTTTAGTGTTGAAAACTTAATAAATCCGTGAAAGCAGTAATCCCGCGGGACGCTTTAAGAAGTACCTAATTTAGATTCAAAAGATTATACCGAGTTGCCGTTGGAGCTAAATTACTGATAAGTATTTAGGAAACATAAGTCCTATTAGTAGAATTTCTTCGGGATGCAACTTTCAAAGCCGCAAATAAGGAGATAAACAAACTGGAATTGTAATTAATTTCTTGCGCAGTTTTAGAAATGCAACGAATTATTTCCGAGCTAATGGTTTCGTTGCGATGTTCAATGCTCGCGCTGTTTTTTTTTTCTAATTATTTTCTTTAGATACTGATATTAAGAAACTGCAATTATTTGTTTTTCGCTTCGCTAGTAAACAATGCAATTATTTTTTAGTTTTTTTAGTCGAGTCGCAATTTCTAACAAGACTTGCGATTAAATGATTTTTTCTTTTTATTTTATCGAAGAAAATATACGTTCCCAACGAGTTCTTTATAAAAGATTTCTGTATGTTTGAAGTTCTCGAAGTTTCTAAAGTCAATATAAAAAATTCCGCTGAAAGTTCAATGTAAAATTTTGAAGCTGTTTTGAATCGTGCATGCCTGTATCGAGTGTTTCAAAACTAAAGGGAAAACTTTAGGGTCCACTCCTTGTATCTTTTAAAAAAAAATTAGATTTACTTTAGAATCACTTTTTTTTGAAACGACTGTATAATTTAATTAATTAAAAGCAGACTTTATCGGTAATAAGCATGTTACATAGAAACCCGTAATTATTTTAATGAAAAGTGCTTACATAATTATTATAAAAAAAAGAAGTATTCCCTGGAATCAAACACGAAAATCGTGTTTAAATAATTAATCAAATACAAATTATCTAATTGTTACATAATTGACAATTCCTTATTAAATCAAACACCACAAAAAAAACCGGCATCGTTATTTTTCATTATCATTTAATTATCTCCAACCCCTTTTGGAAGAGGATCCGAAGAGCCGTTTCAACTATCCCATTTATATTTACTAACAAACCCCCCCGGGAAGGATGATATTTAGTAGCCGGAAAGGGCGAGTCCGGCAACACGCCCTGGGTTGTTTTCCAAGGTGCGGCCCAGCCCAATGGGCGCAGCAACCCCCCTTGATCTAGGGGATGGTTTTGAAGAGCCGTCACCTCAGCGTACCCACCCCCCGACTGTGCGGATTGTAATATGAAAGGCACGCCATATCGCGTGCGCCATATTTTCCGCCACGGTTCGTCGCTAAAAGTCCTCTTTTCTTAATTAAAATATATCACTGGAGGTATTCGTGGAATGGAGGGGTTTTATTGTGGAGCGAGAGAATTCGGATTTTATTCAAATGTTAATGGCGTACGGCTTATACACAAAGTAGTCGATTGTCGAGTTCGTATTTACATTGTATAATTTGAGATAGTTTTTCATCATTCACTTTGTATAGTAAGTTTGGTTTGAGTGTCTTTCATTATTTTACGTAAACTTAAGTACTTGTTGATGCAATTTAAAAATTAATCCTCGACTTGGCATCGTTGATGAATCCATTCAATCTGGAAATTAATCACCTAGAATGACACATTTCCCGATGGAAATCTGATGCTGGGAAATCCAATATTCACAGCACTATCACGATTGGTAGGTAATTACGAATCTCCGTTTTTTTCAACAACCATCAAGAACGCACTAAATAGTGCTTAATTAAATAATTAAAACCCAATTTACCCCTAATTCGATCGTATTAATCAACTAGTTTTCGAGCTAATTAAAGACCACCTGGCAGCGAATTAACAACTAAATTCGCTTTCAACGAAATTTCGCCGCAACAGTTATTAATTAAAAATATTATTCGGGGTTCGAAGCAATACACGCGCCCCTGTCGCGGAGGTTAATTAATCTCCCGGTTTTTTTTCGTGGCAAATTAACCGCATTAATTATATCCCGGGGCTATTCCTGCTACAACAACCCCGCACACGCATGCATTCGCAATAATGCCATTTTGAATCGGATTCGACGACAGCTTTGCAGCGACCGAATTGATAACCGATTTGATAGATGAGCTCGAATTTTAGGTCGACGACCAATTATTTCGGCGAAGTTCAAAGGGAAAACGGAAACCGTTTACGTCCCTCTAACGACACAGGCGATTATTGGCGTGTTCAAAATTTATGATGTTGGTGCGTAATAAAGTTGATAAATTTTTATACAACCGCTAATATTCGTAATTAAAAAAAATAATGTTTTAATATTAATTAGGCTCTTTTATCGTGCACGCATATTTCCGGGTAATAACTCTGCGCTGGGTAAAATGCGAAATATAAAATAATACAGCGGGCTTTGCATTCATCTATTTTATATATAATAATCAATTCGGAGCTTATTGTTGTTTTTGCAGTCGTCCATTGTAACGAGAGACACTTTAATACCACCCGTTATCGATCTATTTGTCGAATGCAGCGCGGGGTTTTCCCGATGAATTCCCCTTATTTTTAGATCAAGTTCTATTCGTTATCGATAACAAACACTGTTCGCTCTGGCGTTAATATAGAAGCAAGCAACCGATAATACATTATTTACTTTACATTTTCATCGCCCGGTGCATTATAAAGGAACACACGTTAGTCGAATTCGATACGAGCAGGAATGTATCATTAAATACATTAGAGAAAATAAAATGTCAGAGAGCCGATAATAAACACGTTCGAGCAGAATGTTACAATCGCTTTTAGCGAATTCTCCCGAAAAAACCCTCCACCGAGGAAATTGAAATGACATCGCATCAATGTGTACACCGCCAGCAATCTCGTCGGGGCTTTTGTACTCCGCCGCTCGTCCGCTTGTTTCATTATTGGCGATCTAATAAAGTCCCTTTATTTAGTTTTCACCGTTCATTAGTTCGTTATTAAGGCCCCCATTCGACCAGCGTTTATTTCCGATATACGGCGGGCGTTCGGCGTTTATGACGCGCCGCGACGCCCAGCAGACGACGCTTCCATAACCTCAAATGATAATTAAAAATACCATTGAACAAAAAACAAAACTATAGGGAATAAACTCTACCGGCTTCGGAGCGGGATTGTAGGTTATTTCATAATAAAGGTAGCGCAATTTACAGGTGAAATGAAAGCAGTTGATGCAATATAAGATTCTTCAGGTCTCAAAAAGAACAAACTACAGAAGAAGTATGTCTCCAATAAACTAATTCTTTTAGAACCAGAAGATTATCAAGACCAAGAAAAAGTAGATCAAGTAGAACCTATAATGATGGACAAAATACTAATGAAGTTGACCGAGTGATCATCAAGGTCACCACCAAATTATCTAGACCAGAAGGTTTGCATGAGGATCATTGAAAGTACCAATTGTCTCCAATAAACTAATTCTTTTGGAACCAGAAGATTATTAAAAATCACACAAATTATCAAGACGGGTAAAATGTTTCCATTAGACCAAGAAAAAGTAGATCAAGTAGACCCTATAAAGAGCCACAAAATACTAATGATGTTGACCAGGTGATCATCAAGATCACCACCAAATGATCCAGACCAAAAGGTTTGCATGGAGACGAATAAGAGTACCGAAAAAAATTGCATTAAAATAAAGATAAACATGGCCACTGACCTGTACATCGAAATTATGCTGTTGCTGCTGCAAAACGGCGCTGTCCACCTGGTGCGGCTGGTGCTGTTGCGGATGCTGCGGCGCGTAGCCGTGCTGCTGATCGTACGGATTCGCCGACTGCTGTTGTTGCTGCTGCTGCTGCTGTTGCTGTTGTTGCTCGGCGGCGAAGTGCTCGAATTGCTGGTTGACCGATTCGGCGAGCGTGACGCCCAAATGGGGCGCCAGATGGGGCGGCAGATGGTGCAAGTGGTGCGCCTGCAACGGCTGCTCGACCGGCTGTTGTTGTTGTTGCTTCAGCACGGCCAGCGCGGCCGGGTCGAGGCCCATGCCGTTTTTGCTCAGCTCCTCTTCGGCCGGCGACGGCTGTCGGCTGCCCGGCGTGCGGCTGCAAAGGAAACTGCTCGAATTAAAATCCACTCTATCGATTCCCATCGTAATATACAACCTAACCAGTTACTACTAGAAGATGTACCTACATGATTACTACCTACAACACCAATGGAGTGTTGCTAAAAAAATCTTAAGACAACACCTGCATATTTTTACTATCATTGGTTGATAGAGGTTCTACAGTTATTGAAAGTATCCTAAAAGTGTTTTTGGGACAACTTTTCTTGCTTGTACCATCATAAATTAAAACGAGGTTAAAATCAAAATGCGAGATTCCTATATACCAAATTATTGGCATATTTTTTCGACTGAAAAATTCGAAGGGAATGCGAAACGTTTTATCGCAAGTCAGTAGCCGACTTAATTATCGAACGAACGGAAACTTCACACGGTGATTTGGCACGAAAGCGACTGAAAATAGCACTTTAAAAGTCGCCAAAACAATCTCTTTATCCGGCGAGTCATTTTTTTTTCCTTCTTTTCATTCGAGCGATATTTATCGAAAGCTAGACGGGCGAATCTGTTTAAAAAAAAATCTAACAACAGTAAATAATGCAAATTCGCAGACGGTTATGCGACTGTTGGGTTGCTAACCCCGAATTTATAACTTGGTTTTTTTTATTATTATTATTCATTATGTCAAAGTTTCGTGGCAGTCTAGTGGTTTTTGGGTTGTTAAGTCGCTTGGAGTTTTTTTTTTGTTCACCTTATTCGTTGGAACGGGTACAATTCATTTTCAGACAAAGTTTTGTAACACAATAGATATGTTTGTGCATTATTTTTTGATTTCCAACGCTACAATAATAAGACGATTATACTTCTTGACAAAAAAAAAGCTCCCAAGAACGAAAAATCAGGTCAGAAAATATACACAAAGGAAAACTTTTACATATTGAACAGGCCGGATGAAAAGAATGTTTTTAGACAAACACATATTCGAATGCGACTCTAATTTGCATTCTACGTAATCCACTTAAAATAAGCACTGTCGGTTAAAATCGCTTAAAAGCAAACAATAAAAGCGAATTTCCATGTATTGGCTCATTTCTGAAATCCATTTCTTATTAAATAAAGCAAATACCACTCGACTTCTGCGGTTGGAAGCGGGCAAATGGGAAAGCGGTAAAAAAAAATTGTAGCTTTAAAAAACCTGGCAAGACCCTTGAAAAATGTATGGAAATCGCGGAATCGTGACCTTCGTGTGACGGAATGAAATTTTTTTTCAGAGAGTAAGCAAAAATTATGAAAATGGCCGAGAATAAATAACGAAACGCGGAGGGTTTTTTTATTATTTCAAACGGCTAAGGGTCAACATATTTTATAAAATGGAATCGTAAATAACGTGGAAAGGAATGCATTTATTTTTGAAGATATGAGAATGAATAATTTCTCATTTGATTGCATAAATGTGCTAAATTGGACAAAGATAGTATTATTTTCTAAAAGTAGAAAATCGTGTTGACGATTCTGATACATTTTACGCCAGGACGAGCCAGCGACGAGAAAACCTCACTTGCACAAACCTTAATAGTTCTCGGAAAAGTGCCCATTTTCCACATTCGTGAGAAAAATAACCATCAAGCCAAAGTCAACTCTAAGAAAACCCGACCTACTTTTATTTACACGAAATAATAAACATCCCTATGCATTAACAGTACAAGAGACTCGACTACAACAGATCTAACTAATGAAAAGCGCACAATCTTCATTAAAATTAATAGCGTCCACAATGGACCCTTCGGTGTCCGAACGAAACAAAGCGAAGCTCATCTGCTAAACAACAATTTAAGTTACTACATCCATCACAATGAGCTAAAATTCAAAAGCAAAGCCCGAAAATCCTAGATCCTGCAAACTCCATCCAATTCGCTATAATCCTAAAACGCGCCACACAACGCCATCTCTCGTCGTAGCACTCAACTCGCCACATTCAAACTTCAGCAGAAATGAAAAATTCGAAAAACTTCGCTCATCCACCGATAGGTGGCGACACCGACACCGCAGGAAATTTCATACACCGCGAAGTAAACAGACCAGTAATCACCTTGACAACGGCGCACGGCGAACTACGATGATGGTAAAAGTGAACGTTGCCAAATCAACAAAAATTTCGCATGTTTAAAGACTTTCGTTTAATGGAAGAAAATCGTACGTTTAAAGTGGAAGTTGCGCGGTACGGTGAAAGGAATCTTTTAGCTAATGAGAAACGTTACCAAATACTCGAACAACCCCCGTAAATTACGTTATAAAAAAGAAAATTTTCGATATCCCCAAGACTGCGTATAACGGTCGATTCGCGGCAACGTCGCGACAGCGTGAGTGAGTCGCTAACAAATGTTCCACGCACGTGTCATTGACTCGAACCAAGGTAGTTGAGCGAGGCCTTGAACCGCCGTAGACCCGGGGCCCCGGCACAGGGTCGGACTCCCGGACGAAACGTTCGAATCGGGACTGTAAATAAACAGCGACCGATGCCGAATTTAATGCCTTCGAAATATATTAGGCGTTACAAAGTTGCAAACGCAACTTTCGTTGCGGTCAAAATAAAACCTCCGATGGGAAAAACGGTTTTCCATTTCCACGATATTCCGAACAACCGATAAATCTTGTCGATGTAAACGACTGGAGTCGGTCTCGATTCGGCGGATCGCCGGCCAATTTCTCGAACGTTACGCTATAACGTTAACGTTAGGGGGTTTTACGGGCGCCGCCGCCGCCGCCGCCGCCGGGCGTCGCGACGCTAGATCGGAACCTGTCAATAATAAACGCCGTCACCTTTTGGAGCTTTACGAGCCGTACGTGCAGACGGCCGTAAACGAGGAGGAACTTGACGATGAGGTGAAGGATGTAGAGGAAGTATTTATTATACGATTGTTGTGATAATGTCTGAAGAAACATTGGATTGCATTTAAATAATTATGATTATAATTAATCTGGTACCTAACGCAATTATTAATAAAATCCTACTAAAGCATTAGGTAATTCGTTTTATTTACTTACAATTAAATTTTTATTTGCTAAATAAATTTAAACTACTTGTTAGAAACGAACTTATTATAGGTTAAACGGCCTAACGAGTATGTTAATGACACTCGTATCGAAGAAATTTACATAAAAAAACGTAAAGGTCGGTGTGACGGTTTTTTTTTTTTAACATCGAAAATTAATGAGAAATTTCAAAACAATCGATCTTTGTTTTCGAACAGAAAACAATCCATAAAAACGATAAGATAACGGTAAAGTGTCCTTTTATTGTAGCGTTTTTTATGTTGAAAACCTACCTTAGTTTATTCAAAAATTTAGAAATTCCAAAGTTTATCAGTTTATTGGTGGAATTTTCAATCGGATTTGACCGGTGAAGAGTCGTAAAACTTTCAGTTTAGTTAAAAAAAATTATTATACCGGAAACGAACCGATAGAAAGAAAATATCTTCACGCATCTATTGAATTAACGCCGGTTTAAGAAAGCAATAACAACTTTAACGCTTCATTTAAGCTCGTTAAATTAAATAATACAATTACAAACAGGTAAAGGCAAATAGAATTTAATTATTTGCCGAAAGGCTCCTTTAGTTTTTTTTTGTAACATTTCCTTATGATACCCCGGACACCGCTAGTTATATAGTTAAAGCAGCAAATTAATGAAAACTGTTATTAAAACGAGAAAAAGCACGCGGCGACGCTCCATTAATCGACACTTTCAATTATGTAAAGCGAAATAGGAAACTTCTGTTTGGGTAATAGAAAACGTGACTTTGACATAAACATTCCTTTCCTCCATAGACACGACATAGGCGCATAGCCGGTACGAGAAAAAAAACACCATATTTGTCGAGTTCCAGTCAACGCAAACATCCTCGAAAAAAACATCCATCCAATTCGACACGTTTCGGCGATTATTAGTACAATTCGAGCAAAATAGAAATATAAAAATCGGCAAACGCAACAGGTTTTCTCCGCGGGGGAAAATAAATAAAGGCAACACTGGTGCACCAGCGTTTGTCAAATTAAATTCGACCGTATAAATCGGTTCGAGGCGCAAAAGGAAACGAACCCAAACCTCCATGAATGATGAAGGTGATACGTTACGTTGTCGAAGGGGAAAAGTCGCAGGAAAAAAGATTTTTCGCGTCCTCGCTGCAATCCAACCTGGGATATAAGCTATTCTGACGTGACTTATGCGGTTAAAGGCCCATAATTTATATTTATCACCTATGCTGTTTCACACGAAACCCCATGCATTTACATATGTATATCGTACAGTAAAAGAAGACATAATAGAATGAAAAAAAGATACCTATTTTTAAAAAAACTTCCTCTATCAAAAACTATACTATTTACTACTAAATTATCGCATAGTCTATTCCCCAAAGGAGATCAATAGTTCTTTTATTTTCACACAGTACACAAGTAAATGACGGTGTAATTTTAACTGAACTGTACCGCGTCCCTAGGGGGGCGGTAGACTCGGCTCGAGGGAAAAATAAAAGTTGACACGAAGCTGCAGCGGCCTCGATACCTCGTACATCACCTGAAGGGAAGCTATATCAAGGGACACCGAAGGGAGTTGTCAGCGAAAGAGCTTAAATTCAATTAAGGGCTAAGGAAATTAATATTAATATGTGTAATAAATGTCTGAATGTAATGACTAGGAATTTTTGAATATTCGACGAAAATTTGCGTATGAAAATAATTAAAATAAGAAGTAATTATTCGATAGAAAACATGCAATAAATGTAAATATAGCGAATTATAATTAGAAATGAATCTAACGATTTAGAAATGTCGAGCGATTTTTGAATCCAATCGATGAACTTTTACCCTATTGATTTTGGTATTTTATCATTAATTTATTTGTTAAATTATTCACTATAATTAAACCATAGCTACTGGCAACGAAACCTTCCACACAACGGAATGATAATAAATTTACGAAATCGCCACCAGATTTTTAATATAGGTATACATAGTAATTAAAATGTGGTGGCCTAAAAAACGATATCTCTTCGTAAATTTTATGTACTAACACCGAAACTCGCAGTTTGTAAAATTTTATGTCGGTAGATACCTAATTAATGCGCACAAAATAAAATTAAAATCACCACGCAATAAACTGCCTATTTTGTTTAGCAAGAAATAATGACAATGATAAACATTTTCTATGAACGACGTAATAATAATTAAAGTATAAGTTTAATGAGTAGTTTCTATAAAATTTAAATGCGATTGTTATAGTTTATAGATTTTTAGGTACGAATTTTTGAAAGTTCGAAAAAGAAATACGGGGTGTCCCAATAAAAAGTAGCCCCTTTAATGTGATTATAATTTTTAAACGCCTAATCATAAAAACTTGCGGTTTTCTCAAATATGTTTTATTTTATTATAGGGATACAGAAATTATGCATTACCAATAAAAGGTGTTTTATCAAAATCTCCTCTTTTAAATCCACAGTAACCATTTTTTTAAAATGGAAAACCCCGTATATGTAGAGGTATTTTGAAAGAAATACTCTTCTACTTTTCAAAAATGTTTTATTTACTTGTTATTCTATAAAAGAAGACGTCTTATTTCATAAAATTTGGTTAATGTAAATGTAAAAGAGGGATTTTTATGAAACACTGTACAGGCGATATAAAATTTTTGTGCCACTGTAACAAAAAATTATAACAAAAGGAAATACATCCGGGAAAACCGCATGTTTTTATGATTAGGCGCTTAAAAATTATTACCTCATTAAAGGTGCTACTTTTCATTGGGACAACCTGTATTCGAGTACAACAAAACAAAAAATCCACTTACTTAAATCCACCCTTATCGTCGTCCTGGCCGACTTGCCCGTTTTGCACGACCACCTGTTGCCCGTTGCACTCCTCCTTCGGGCTCTGCGACTTGTCCTTGTCCTTGTCGCAGTCCTGCAGGTGCAGGGCGCGCATGCGCGGCTCTAGGCCGCCGGGCACGCTCGGCCCGCCGCCGCCGCCCACCATGTTGTTATCCTTGCCGGTGGGCGACGTGCCCAACACGTACTCGACCATCTTGACGCCCAAACCGCCGTTGTCGGAGCCGCGCGGTGACAGGATGCCGCCGCCGCCGCCCCCCGTATCGCCGCCGCCGCCGCCGGGGAACCCAACGCCCGCCCGCCGGCCCACCAGCGACGCCGATACCGCGTGTTCTGCAAACAAAGAAATTACGCTTCAATTAGTATTGTTTTTTTCGTCGATTACTCTACGCTTCAATCAGGGGGCGGTAGACTGGGGCAAATGTGAAAATGGGGTAAATGTAATATTTTTATCTATTATGTTAATGTTTTTTATTATTTTTATAGTTCTTTTGTGTATTAGACAGGGTTTGTTTCTTATTTTTTCTTTATTATTTTGTAGCTCTGTTATTTTTTGAAATAAATAAATAAATAGCATATCAAATTTTAGAGGAACCAAATTAATATTTACAATTGCCCCATATGTTTTTCTATATAATTGTATTGCACTTTAGAACAGTTTGTTGAAATGTTGTCAACATTTTAAAAAATATGTAAAATAGTTTTCTTCCTTTTTCAAAAAAAACTTTTTAATACCTCGATTCTTTAGTTTAGGAAGTTGTGAATTTAATGTAGTATCAGCATTTCTAATAAGAGAAAAAATAAAGCCACATTTTAGGATTTAATTTGAACTATTCAAATTTTACAACCGATTTGCCCAAGTCTACCTTACTTGTTTGTTATAACGTACACTCGAATTTCTAACGATGGTCTATTTGTTATTTTCCGTATCGGAAAACGTGCACGTTTCGAGCGAGCGCGGTAAAAACTGGGTAAAAATGCAGTCGAGTTGAAAAATAGACTTTCGACTTCCCGGTTTTTAAAAAATCGATGAAATTTATGCGCATTGATAAAATCGTATAAGTAACGTATAAAATTATCAAATGTTAGTTAAAATGTAGTTGCTATCATCACAATAATTATAATATTAGCTATTAAACTATCCTTGCAGTATAATTACAAAATAAAACGCTTTAATATAGTTTTTCTTGAGAGAATTAAAAAATATTTTCAACGAGTTAATTCTTGCAGCGTGCAAAGTAGCCTATCACATAGGTATTTAATAACGTTTTCCTCGATTAATAATCCCAATTTTGTCAGAATGCAAGCGTAAGCCGAAATAGACCTAGCTAATTTATCATCGCGACGTCTCTGTGAAAATTCATATTCAACGCAGAAGACGGGAAAATTATAATGTCGTTTTCGTAGTTATGGGTGTTGGGATTGTGTTTAAAAGACGGGAGAACGACGAGATTCGTTCCCGAACAGCCGCCGGAATAATTTAATCCGGATTTTGCGAAATGAAGACACGCAAATGGGATGTGTGTGAAAAAAAAAGAGGAATTTTTCGGGGGTCGCTTGTGCTTTTATACAAATTTTATTGCTTATGCAAAATTTTTAATAACGAGCGTTTAAAACGTGCGTCGAATGCGAATTACCGAATTGCGATAATTCCGCTTTTTAAGCACAAAAACGTAAGGTAGACTGGGGCAAATCGGTTGTAAAATTTGAATAGTTCAAATTAAATCCTAAAATGTTGCTTTATTTTTTCTCTTATTAGAAATGCTGATACCACATTAAATTCACAACTTCCTAAACTAAAGAATCGAGGTATTAAAAAGTTTTTTTTTTGAAAAAGGAAGCAAACGATTTTACATATTTTTTTAAAATGTTGACAATATGTTACATTTACTCCATGGTACGGGGTAAATGTAACAAACGGTTCTAAAGTGCAATACAATTATATTGAAAAACATATGGGGCAATTGTGAAAAACTATTTGGTTCCTCTAAAATTTGATATGCTGTTTATTTATTTATTTCAAAAAATAACAGAGCTACAAAATAATAATCAAAACATAAGAAACAAACCCCGTCTAATGCACAAAAGAACTATAAAAATAATAAAAACATTAACATAATAGGTAAAAATATTACATTTACCCCATTTTTACATTTGCCCCAATCTACCTTATCAAAAACCAAAATCCGCCGGATTCGAATTATGGATCTTAATACCGCGAGAATCATTAATCACGACACGCCGAATACGATCCGAAAGCACAATAGGCGCGCGATTTGCGCCAATAAAAGTAGCGCGAAAGAATTAGATAATCGCTTTTCCGTCTGTACTTTTTCGTTTTTTTTTCCTTCCTCGTCTCGAGGAAATAATATCGAATGGGGGAATGATAGATAGCTCGAACGCCGGTTGAGTATTCACTAAAGTGTAAATAAAGATTATACAATAAATCTTTCTTCGAATTTCGACGTAGGAATATTCTTAAAATCAGTCATGTAAAAAATGTAAAAAATAACGAGTGTATTATCTACTACATAATTATCTTCCACGAACTACAAAAATTAAGGCTCATAATGTTGTGTTCTACTGTATTATTTATACAAATCGTTAGAATTATCATGTAAAAGAGACGAAAACTAATTCGATTTTCGTTCGAAACCTGCCAAGTTCAGATCAAAGGATACTACAACATTAAACTTCTCTTCTCTAAAATCTCGAAAAAAATAATTTAATATCGCATCGCCTAAGCGAGCAAATATCGCTTTGTGAGTTTCGAAGTAATTTCAAGTGGAATCGTCGCGATTGATGAACATTAACCATTAGCCTCGGATTTTCCGGGATGAAGCATTACAGGAAATGCGCCCGACAAAAGGGACTCTCTGTTTCTCTAATTACGAAAATTTATCAAGGACTTACAACGGCTTATTATTTGATTAACTTTTCGAAATAATACTCTAATACGATTTTAATAAATTAATTTTTTTCGTATGAATTTTCCCCATAAGTTTCCGGCAAATTTCGCAGACCCGATCCCATAATCTCATTTTTACAACACGAGTATAAATCAATAATAAATTGATTCACAAAAGTTAAGATTCGCAAATTTTGCGATTATTTTAAATGTTACAGACTTTTTGATCACCAAATTTTCAAATATGCGAAAATAAATGTTTTCACTCATATCTGAGTGGATTTTTTTGTCCCCTACAACTCATACTAAATTTGGCGATCAAAAAACCTGCAACTTTTGAATTAATCTCAATATTTGTAAACTACCTCAACTTTTGTCTAGCAGTGTATATCGATCGTTTCGACAATAAATAATTCCTCCGAAACGTGGAATTTCCGATAAGACGATGGAAACAAAAAAAAAACCCGGTCATCCGCGGATCGAAAGCGTTTAGCGCACCGGCGTCGGGACGCCCTCGCCCGTCGAGCGCCCAGCGCCGCGACGGCCCTCCGTCTGTCCAACGACGCATGCAAGAGATGGGCGTGCCGGGCGTCGGCACCGTCTCTATGGGCACGGCGTTCCCTGCGTCTGTTGCCCGGGCAACCCCGGTCAACGTCGAGACGCCGCTCCGAACCGAGCGACGTTGCCACGTCCAACGGAAAACCCACAAAAACCGGTAAAAAAATCCCATTTTTTTTTTTTCTTCGAAAGGAGCGAAAATTGCTCTTCGACCAAATCAAACTCCACGAAACCTCAGTTACACACGACTATATTTCACAAGGGAGCGTATTTTCGTTACAATTTTCACCCGGAACCTTCCATCGAATTCACATCATGGATTGGTAGTTCAAATTGGTCGGATTGACCTGGTTCGTCTGCGGACCGTTGTAGAAATTGTTCTGCTGTCGCTGCTGCTGCTGCTGCTGTTGGGGGCGCTGCTGCTGCTGCTGTTGGGGGCGCTGCTGTTGCTGCTGCTGCTGCTGTTGCTGCGGCCACGTCCCGTCGGGCGTCGGGCGCGTCGGGGCGCCGCGCTGGGCGTCGTGCGTCTGGAAGTTCCGCTGCATCAGCATGTTGTAGTTCTGGGCGAAGGTCTTCGACGGCGTCGGGAACATGCCCTTGTTGGTCGTGAAGTACTTGACGTCGCCGTTGCAGTCGATGTAGTGCGAGGGCATCGCGTAGCCCGGCTCGGGGAACGCCTTCTGGCGTCGCTGGCGGTTCGGCGTCGCGACGATCGTGCTCTCGTTGTGTTGGTCGATTTGAGCTTCGCCGGCGCGGTTGTCGTTGTACGAAGATAGCATTTCGGGGCGGCGAGGGGGAGATTTTTGTTAATCGACGATCGTTAAAGGAATTTGACTTGATGTTTGATAAATTTTGTTTTGACGTATAGAATATATATATACAGGGTGTCCGGAATTTTGATGTTAAAAATTTCCGTTGACAATCGAGGAGTTTCCTTGCCAGTGGGATTTTTTTAAACAACTGCATCGGTTCGATGTAAGCGAAACACCAACCGTGACATCGCTTTGTTCGCTATAAATCGATCTTAGGCGTATTTTTTATCGTTTTTCTCTTCAGCCCTACTGAGGGAATATCCAAGTAGCTGACGTGATGATGAAGCAATAAAGCAGATGAAAATTTTATCTGTTTTTTTTTCGCGGCCTTTTTTTTTGCATTCTTTTTTTAGTTTTGGACGTGTCAAAAGTGCAAGTCAAAGTGCATACGAATAAAATGCGCAATTAAAAATTGAATGGGATTATTCCGTTTGGGAAAGTTCGTGTGGAATTGCGTTTATTTACAATGATTAAAATTGAATTTTTACGCGGTGAACCTGAACTTAATTCCATCATACAGGCAATAATTGACGTCAGCCAATTTATTTACAACCCGCGATTTCTTCGAAGTTTTTTAAAGATTTCACAAATGTCTAATAAAAAAATCGATTTTTTACATTTGATATTAATCAAAAAAAGATGCTTAATGTATTTGTGAAGATAACAGATTCTTTATGATACCATTTTTTCTACTAGATTAATTTGACTGAGAAGCGAAATTTAATAAATAACGCCCAACTCGAAGTTTTCAAGTTCCAAGTTCAACAAAGGTCTTCTGTAGACTTATTAGTATATCACAAGAACAGAATACTCGCTTCACAAACAACATCATCCATTGAAAATAACACTCATCAATAACTTATCGGAGATAACGCGGCGAAAACGAAGCGAATAAATACAAAAAAAAATGTTTCGAACGATAACAAACAAATAAAACTTCTCGAGTCCTTGTAAACCCAATCTCCTTTTTTATCGTCTAGTCTACAAGCCTAAATGTAGGTCGATTCGATTTTCCCTCGCGCAGAGATGCATCTGCATTATAGCAACGTTGTTTACATTTTTTTTATTTATCATTCGAACACCGAGTAGGCAGAATGGGCTGGATATCCGTATTTAAAAAGGCCAAGAACTTTTCGATTCGATTACCTCGCCTTTAACAGTCAGACGAAGCGCAATTGCGATACGAGAAGGCGCTATCATCGTGTGTTTATCGAACTGAGGTCAATGCAAACGACAAAGAAATCCAGAAATGCATTTTTTAATAAACTATAAATTTGTACGTATCAAAGTTACGCGTAAATAAAAAATACGCGAGCTAAATAAGAAGAAAGTTCCACGAAATGTTCGGGAGAAAATAATACAAGGACTGAAAAACATCGATTAGGTTTCAAAGGACGGCCATTTCACCTTCTTATTGAATAGCTTCGGACATGGAGGCATGAGAAAATGGGACGGAAAAAAATTAATTTTCGTTCCTTCTGGCTGGGAAGACCGTAACCAACAACAATCGATGAAAATTGCGACCTTGCTGTTTCTAACAAACACCATAAAAACTAAGGACGCTTTATATAAAGGGCTAAGGTTGGTATTTTATCCCAACCAGCTTTATTTATTTTCCTATACAGTTGCAAACTGTTTCATCGATTTAGCGCCAATTTTTACGGGCGCATTAACAACCAAATACCTGATTCGAATTATCCAAATGATGCTAATTATAATTCAAAACAAACTAGTATCTACAAATTAAATTAAATCCGCAAAGGTAAAACAATAAAACGTAATTACGCAGGTCAGTGAACTACCAAAGTTCAAATACATAAATTTTCCATCTCATTTGAAATTATAAATATGGAACGTTCATCTCGGCCACTCCAGTCATCTATACACAAATTAACGTCCATTCATGACGCGAAAGCCTCTCCCGGGATAATATATCCCAGAATTGGAATGCTGCAACGCAAATGCCAGTTTGTCTACCATCAAAATGGGAGCAGAAAAGCATTTGAAAAAGGTTTATAGGTGTAATAAAAAGATTCTAGTTTCTAAAGAAATGATATCCATCATACTAATATTTAAAACTGTATCTAGAAAAGCACAATCCTAGCAAATAACTGTCATAATACCTACTGGCATGCGAAATTTACAAATTTAACTTCTAGTGGAAATTACTCAAAAATGAAGCCTGGTGATCCAATTAAAAGTTGGAAAATGTTTCCTATCAGTTCCAGAATTGCCACATCTAGAAATATGTATATGTTTACCTCTATTATAGTATCAGTATAATTATCATAGGTATAATAAATATTGTTTACCATTTTCTCTTATCACAATACGATATCGGTAAGTAATTACTCATTATATTAGCTAATTTAAAGCATGAATGATTTATAAATACATTTTTTTTAAATGTGTTAACTAGTAATAAGCATTTTGAAAGCTCATATTGTAATGCTGCAACATACTAGTATTCAACAACTTTCAATTTAAATCCTTTAATCATAATTTTGAATTATTTCAGGAAACACCGAGTTTCCGGAAAAGTAGCTTGAACTTTGCACAAATGGAAATCGCCAAAGTTTCATTCCAATTTAAGTGAGAGACTTAATGCAGCTTGATTATGTATAAATTAAACTCCGTGCCCTAAAAATGACTTCGTGCTCTTTTCCTGGACTTTTCGATCCCTTTGAACTTTCAAAAGAACAGAAATTAATACCGTTTTATAGTTGATTGAATTGAATTTTCGAATTCAGCGGCGATGAAAATCGCTCTAATTTTCTCCAAGCCTCTCCAATGGAGTAAATAATACTATTTTCATTCACTATTGTCCAATTAAATCGTGAGACAAAAAAATATGTTAAAACTGGTTCTTAGAAATTTGTTCTGTTTAAAGTAAGCAAATTAAAATGAGTTTAGCAAACAGTTTTGTCATGTCTTCCGAACCAGTAGATAAACAAATTAATTCTCGCTAAAACAGCTAACGAATTCCAGGATTAGCGCATATTAACTAACGGTAATTACACTTATTTTCGAGAAGCTAATGCAAAATAATGAAATTTCGCCGCGCAAAAAAACACCAATTCGACTCGAAATGAAACTCCTCCGGAAACTCTTTCATACGTTTCCGACCGACCGAAAAAAAAAGACCAAACGAAAAAAAAAAAGACCAAACGAAAAAAAAATATCCCAAAACCAAAGATACAAGTAGCGGAACGCGTCGGAAAAAGTAGCTTAAAGTTTGCGGCTTTACGTCTTGCAGTGTTGCGGTTTTACGTGACTTGTGAGAGAATGAGACGAAGAATTCCAGAGATTTCCAAGTTGGATACAATTTCCGACATCGGAATATGCCGGATTGCTCTCTTGTTTCCCCTTTAGTAAGTCATTTGTCGGGAACGGCTAGATAAATGGGTTAAACCTTTTTATACCGCCTTCCTTTTAAAATGCTCGTTTAACATGTAATTTTATTTGTTCAGAATACAGGCCTATCAATGTAGAAAAAAATTATAATTTGTGTTAAAGGTGGGAGTTACTAAATATAACCGTCAGGAGATGTGATGATAACAATTACACTTTAAAACTCCAAATCTTGGAGGAGTTAATAAACTAGTAGAATAAATAATTTACCTGGTGCAGCCCATGTCGGATCTCTCCAAACTCCGTCGTGGTTCAAATGATTCAAATTCAATTTAGTCGACGCATCCTTCGATTCGAGACCCCATAATTTTTTTGCTGCTGGAGCAATCTGCAAACGAATGAAACGAAATTTATTAAATTTTCGGCAAAACTACTGGTAGTTTAATTAATCCCCGGCTATCGTTCGGTTTTATCGACATCGTGTTAACCGAAATATTCGAAATAGTTGACGTAAAATTAACAGATAACGAATAATGATTGCCGTAGGTCGGCGTTTTAAATTTGGAATTCGAATTATCTCACGGTGACGTAGCCGTTGTAAACAAAATACACGACAAATTACAGCATTGCTGATAAATTAGACTTTGATCGTTGAATTAAAAATATTTAGATAATTATAAATCGTAGTAAATATTTCGAAGGAACAAAAATGCTCGTAAAATTAATTATTCCACGATTTCGATTTCGGCAAGATTTTTTGCGCGGACAAACGAGCAATTAACGAAAAAATCGTTCGTCCTAAATAGCTCGGTAAACCATCGGGTTTTTTCCAATCCTTCTAATCGTTCCATTACGTTTTATAAAACCGATTTTTATCTAATTTCTCGTTCGATACGGACAGCGGAAAAAAAAGCCATTAGGGGCTCTTCGGCATTGACATAGAGCAGATAGCGTTCTCGTAAAAGGTTCGCACTTTTCTAGTTCCTAGACACCGATGGATGCAATCACGATTAAATTCACTTAGCAACAGCTACATTTACTTTTTGTACAAGATATCTCCATGCCAATACCATTAAAATACTTATAAAAGTAGATGATTTTAAAGTACATAATATATCAAATTATTACGGGAATCTGTTAGAGATGTGAAATTTTAGATAGAAATAAAATACACCGGATCATATGACGGTTAAAAAAAATCTACGCATAATTTCATGAAAACGAGGCAATAATTTCGAAAGGAAATTCCTTCCAGTAACCCGATCTTGAACCAGTATAGCAATGGTGTTTGTTTCTAAACTCGGGCATTTCTTATTCCTTCAGCAATTGAAGGTCTTCACTTGGATTGACAATAAACGAAGGCTTTAAAATTAGAAATATAATATCTGTCGAGAAATAATTTAATTATCCAAAGTTTAGGGACACTGTGTGGAGCAAGCGCAACGACAATTTCCTGAAATTTCAATATCTAATCGAATTCCTAGGTTCACGCTTCAAACATCTACCTAATTAGAGCCTACATCAGCGGTATGAGGAATTTATCGATTTGTCCAAATTCGATGCTTTAGATCTCACTATACACTTAATAATTACCTACTTTTTGGGGGGCTGAATAATTTTAGCTACACAGAGAGGTGGGCGGCAAAAAAAACCCAGTCTTTTCCGGCTCGAGGAGCGGAAACGATAAGGGAAATGATGAATAAGTCTGTCAAGTCAAGTTTTCGTTACTCCAAAAGAACGATCACCCTTGAAAAACACCGACAGTGACAGATCTAACCCATCTTAATAAACGACAAAAAGTATAAAATAGCTTTGAATTAATAATATGCAACGAAAAACAGCGGCATTACACCAAAATTCTATTAATCAACATCAAAGTTTTACTCGCGTAATTTTACGTCTATATAGCGGGGGTGAAGAGAATAATAAGGATAATCCTTCATCGTTCCACCAGAGATGAGTTTCAAGACATCATTAATTTCAATAGAAAACTAGAGTTTTCAACCGCAAACGCGATATTTCTCCGGTCACAATCGATACGTCCTCAGCATCGAAACATTTTCCACTCGTATACAACATCGCCAGTCGCCGTGAAAATTCAAAAACGGACAATTTCCGCCGTCGATGGCGCGCCGGCATAAACTCGAGATCGCATTCGGGCGTGAAACGGTAACGAATTTAAATTGGCGAGGCCGGTATACAGGGTGGCCCAAAATTCACGCCCCACCGCTAAATGCTCAATGGAAACGACGATGAAGATGCCAAAACTGCAGCCAAAAAACATGAAAAAGTTATTCCTTTGGTAAAGGGGGTGAGTTCCGGGCCACCCTGTATACGAGTAATAACGGCGGCGGCGGAGCGACGTGAAAAACGCCCGGAAAACGGGCCTCTTACGAGGCTTTTCTTCGTCGGAGCGCGAGAGATTTGTTCGACGCCTTAATTATTCCGCGCGTCCCATATTTTTCCACCGGCTTCTCCTTTCCCGGGACGCTGTAGAATATACGGGTGAAGTTGCCTCGATTATTGTTCGGTTTAATGAGTGTATTAAAGTTTTTACCGCTTCCCTTTGGTGCTCCGTTAAGAATGAGGCCGAGAAAATTAGATGGCGTTTTTTTTTTTAACAAAATACTTGAACTTTTTAACTAATTAATTGAACAAGTATTTGCTACCAATTAGATTGCTAATTTACAATTACTATTAGGGACTTTTAATCGATATATTTAAGGGGTTTATTAAATTCTCTAACAAACATTAATTTAAATTCATCAATTAAGTATAATTTCAACAAAACGTCAGCTATTTAAGAATGATTCATCGTGTTGTTAAAATTTAACAAGCATGTTTCGACTTCATTAGCTGGTATTGATTAGAACTAAACTGCATTTTAGTATATTTTACCTATACGATCAATCATTAACTTGTCAGTTACCGGACCGTTGTGATTTTCTAAAAATCAACCGAAAAATGTTCGGTGAACACCACGCACACGAAAATACCCGATAGGCTTATTGTTTTACCATCAGTAAAATTTTCCACGAAATATCGAACAGCCATTAATCTTTCAAGGTTTTTTTCCCAAACAAAATAATTTAATGCTGTTACCGCCGAGAACAGGAGTTCGAAATTAAAGCCTCCGTTGCTCGATAGTTAAATTGAGTTTTAAAAGTGATCGTTCGTTTTATAAAAGAATTAAGAAGCCCGTCGTTTATTAATTAAACGGCGTTTAGAGTACAGCAGGTATTTTTTAAAAGAGAGAAATCTTCCTAAGATACTAACCATGTTGTAGTTACTTCAAAACACTAATTTTTCACTATAAAATAAACAAAAAAAATGTACACTATATGTAGGTATTATCTACAGAAAACATACAATATACACACTATATACAAGAACGTGCGACGAAGGTTCTAAGAACTGCTGAACCAACAGACCGTCATATCGAACTAACAGCCCTTCTTATCCGTCCCCTGGCAAAAGGGACAGTTGTTTAGGGTAGAAAATTAGAAAAGGGCCACGGCATACGTCATAAACCTCTGAAGGCTTCCCACCCTATAGCGAGTCGGTCCTCTAAAAATTTTAATACTCACCCTTGTGCACGGAATAAGGAAACCTCCGCCACTTCGGCTTGTACATTCAATATACAAAAAGGGCGGCAACAGGGCTTAAGGAAGACGAAACCGGTTTTATTTATGCGCCAAAAAAAAAACATGTGGAGAGCAGTTGTGCAAAATCCTAATCACTATTTTGTGTATTATAGTATTTGTAATCATCGCCTGTGTCGTTATCTCTATTTCATAATAAGGGTGTAGGAGTAAAAAAAAAATGATTGCGCGTCGAATAAACCAACCTAATGCGGATATGCATTAATCTAAGTTACACGCAGACGAGCGAATGCTTTTTCACTTTCGATATGATGGATTGCTCGCGAGGAATATCGAAATTCGCCGTCGCATGTCTACAATGATAATTCATCTTGCATTAAAACCGTCGAACGCTCCAAGGTTTCGGGCTCTTCTCTGCTCTTCTCCGTACAAAAGGTGTGGTGTATGAGAAAGCGGCACGTGTGGGGCCCCTACTCAAAGGCAAAATCGACTAAGAAAGCATTATAACGTCAAGGGGTTGACGGCGTAAGCGCGTCCGGTGAAAAGGGAATATGGTAATTGGAGGATTTTCTATCGAATATAATTCGGATGGGCCACTAAAAGGTTCGGCGAATTTAATTTGAATATATCAACGATTGGATTGTTGATGGATAAGTAGAGCAGTGTATCTCAAATCACTGTGGTGTGTGATATGTTATTTCGAGTTTTAAAAATTGCTTGGAAGCACAAAAACAACAATTTTAGCGCGTACAAATTACAGTCGGTTAAAAAACCGAATGCTATTTGGTTATAAAATACTTTCAAGCGCATTATTTCAGCGCCGAAGCGGGCAATTCGGTTATAAAATACTTTCAAGCGCATTATTTCAGCGCCGAAGCGGGCAATTCGGTTATAAAATACTTTCAAGCGCATTATTTCAGCGCCGAAGCGGGCAATTTGGTTATAAAATACTTTCAAGCGCATTATTTAACCGCCGAAAGGGGGCAATTTGGTTATAAAATACTTTCAAGCGCATTATTTCAGCGCCGAAGCGGGCAATTTGGTTATAAAATACTTTCAAGCGCATTATTTCAGCGCTGAATCGGACAATTCGGTTATAAAATACTTTCAAGCGCATTATTTCAGCGCCGAAGCGGACAATTCGGTTATAAAATACTTTCAAACGCATTATTTCAGCGCCAAAGCGGACAATTCGGTTATAAAATACTTTCAAGCGCATCATTTCAGCGCCGAAAGCGGGCAAATTCGAAACGACAAACATCCCACCGACGAAATGAAGAAAAAAAACCGCGCGAAAATCGGGCATAGTTGCGGTCAGGATAGCGCGTTGTGCGGATGCCGTAGTGCAGGTAGCACCGGCGAAAGAGCGCGCTAACGCGTCCCCCGAATAGGCGCCGCCGCCCCCGAAAAACCGGAGGCGGCAACCGACCGGCTAAACTACGAGGGACAAACGACACGTTTACGCAACATATCGAATCCATAAAGAGAAATTTCCGATAAACAACTTTCTTTCTCGGACACAACCGCTTCTGCGGCGCGATCATCATATTAGTTATACAGGGCGTCCAAGTGGTATCGAAACAGGTCCAAATTTTAATCAAATTACAGCCTAAAATTCAACTCAAATTAATCCAGTTTTTATACTACTCAACCTAACATTGCCTAATTTCCAAAGCGACATCGAAACTACAGCGCCTCTTTATTTACACCTCACAAACAACATCTAAACTCCATACAGTGTAGAGATTAAACAAACTTTTTATCAATTCCCGCTCCGACTATATGTTTGCTGCACTGCCCCACACAAGTCGAGGCTGCGCCCCGAATAGGGATATCGACCGGCGGTGCGGCGGTCCGCGTAGCCGCCTCCTGGCCGCACCGCCGAGAGAGGTCTAGGCCAAAGACCTGCGGGTCACGACCCGGCGACTGCTCCGCGGGTTGGTTCGCATTTGAGGCTCTAAAATGCTATATGGATGGTCACCGAATAAGCCGGGGAGGAGAACGGGTTAGACGACCTTAACTAACCCCGAAAATATACCTGCCGTCGATTCCGTAGCTAATGCAATGACTGCCATTTAATATTTAATAGGGAGGGTGTCAATTAAATCAAGATTTTATGATAGAAACTCATTCGAGAATACCCAAGAAATTTAGCTCATTTTCCATCATTTAAGATCATAACAAGACTAACATGCACAGTATTCCGAAAAACTTTTTTTAAGCTCTTTCAAATCTTTGCATTTTCATTCGACATGTACTCTACCCGGTAATCTACCGTTTCGGGGAGCTGATTTATCGGCGAGATAAAATATCCTTTTTCCCTTTTATCTTTTTTTTTTTGTTCCTTCGACTGGCTGCAAACCCAAGTGGCCCTCGTGAACATGATTTATCGGTATAAATCGGACCACCATAGACGATAAGAATATTGAAATTGTGGAAAAAACCGCCCTTACGCTCGTCGAAGCGAAAAATAATGAAGACATCACGATGTCGCTGTTGGTTCAAAAGGAATTTTTCGATATAAATATTTCGTTGGAAATATTGGAGCGGACAAAGTCGATGCAAAATAAAATTTTCCCATTCCCTTTTAGAAATCAAGTTAAAAAAATGTAAAATAAATATTCATAAATAAACACCTCCGTTCCAAATTGACGTATTGATTGATAATTAATATAATTAATATTTATACATGAAGGTTATTTATCAAGGAATTATAATATGTCGCATTAAATCAAGTTAGATAAAATTAACAAAGTTCGATTTTTTCGAAAAAGAAAAATTATAAGCTAAACGGTAGGAGAAAGAGCAACTCTCTATATTCGATTCATTTTAAAATTCAATTAAAATATATCTCTAGTCAAATCAAAGCTTGCAAATTAGAACGATATACGAGTATTACGTGTGCTTGCAGAGAAATGCAGAAATTAAAATCTCATCAAATCCATCTGTTACAAATCCTTTTACAAACACATCGAATTAAAGCAAATGGCAACTTACTAACGAAATTATGATGAAACCCGCCGATTTAATGACTATTTACATTGTAACACGCTGGTCAACTTCAGAATAATAATTCCCGTGTTAAAATTTACACACATTTCCCTAAGGCGAAATTAACAAAAAAAAAATAGAGGCATTAATCTCGAATTAAATTTCGACGAAACGCCATTTGCATTATGCATTCCTCATAAAATACAACGGGCGTCACAGAAAAAACAACAGGAAGGGACTTCGCGAAGATTTTTCTTTTAATAAAGTTCAGAAAGTTCGACTTTGGCAAAGAAAAATCTTCAATCGCAAACTCGCGGAAGTAAGTTCATGTGTCAAGGCCGTAAATGACAAGAATTCTACATCAGAAGTTGAAAAAAATTCATCAAACTTTCGTTTGCCGGAGACGGGACGCGCAAAATTTGTCTTCACTCGAGTTTCTCTTACAGAAGAAGCGCGAAAGGCGCTCCCCAAAAACAATTTACATTAGCTTAAAGTATTCAACATTTACAATTTATTTAACTAGCATTGATTGCCCTGTATTATTATCATAAATTTTTCATATAAAGCCATTTTCAAAATTCAGTTTTGCACGTTTTTTAGATGCAAGTAATATTCATTGTACATTTTTTGTAATATTCTATAAGTATAAAACAATATCAGATAAAAATAATCTTATTGCATATTGTAGTGAATTCGGCGATGAATTTTAAAACTACACAACTTAGCATAGTTTGACAACATAATAACAAACTATATTCTGATATAAGATAAAAAAAATTGAATGCTGAGAGTTAAAAAGAGGCTTATCAGATCTCGGTTAAAAAAATCATACGCCTGTTGAATACATTTCAATATAATTTGAATACATTTTAACCCATTATTTATAATAAAAGACACTTATATTTGAGTCTTAGCACCGGGTCATGAACTTTCTCGATTTTTATCAAAACGCCTAAAATAATATTAAGGAACTGACATTATTTATTTGCTTTGTTCAGAATTTTCAAATAATTTTTAATTCTAACCTAATAACTTAAATACTGATTTTTGTTCTTTTCAATTGTGCAAATCCTTCTTGTAAGCTTTTAATTAAATACATTTTATTTAATTGGTTGAAAATCTGTGGGTTAAATGACGTCGTTAGTACAGAATTTTATGTTAAATTAGAAAAAAATTAACTTTTACTGTTGCCTCATTCGGCTGCAAACCAAGGCTACGGGATATAACAAATTAGAATTATATTTTTAAATAGTATTTCATTTATTTCGTTAATTCGAAAGGTTAATTATTTCGGATTAGCTTTTGTTTTATATAACGAATTTAATTTAAGATACAAATTGAAATGTCGCAAGTGTGGGATGTTGCTTTATAGTGATTTCTACCCATTATTTTGTCAATTTCTAAACGAATGACGCAATCCAATACGGTAATAATCATTTTACGAGTTAATCAGGCTATGATAAATAGGTAAGCTTTTGCCACCAGCCGGTGGAAGCGATGAATTCGAAAATAGTAATTTATAAACAAACGACCTTGGCAGTGGACAAAGGACAACGACTCCTGGTTATTTCTATTACGGATATTTCGTGATGACTCCCCAATAATTCGTTTAGAACTCGATGTTTTCGTGCCGCGTTTTAAAGTGTGGGCGCTAAATATTCATATATAGGTTCAATACTCTTAATACCTACATTTACCTAGCCTCTAAATCAATTAGCGACACTATAACCTTCAATAATATCTAACTAATTACTCGCTGATAACTGACCCGGCGAACATACAAAAATCATCACCTGATCCAATTCAATTCCCGAATCAGCGGATAATTACGATATCCCCAGCGAAATGCATAGACGGGAGTTAATCTAATTTACCGCAACAATTACTCGTACATTTGGAGCATAAAAGTAACACATTGTTGCTTAGCAGTCCGAAAGTAATGAAGACACTTCACGCTCGAAATGCTTCGCGGGTATTAAAAAAAAATTTTCCCGTCGATACGTTTAAATAAATTGCAGGTAATAAAATATAATCATTGCCGCGTTAAGATAATACTTTACCATTGCCTATAAGGTGAAACATAATACGAGATAAAAAAAATATCGATATCAAAATACATCACCTAAGTATGGTTATTCTGTATGTCTAAACAAATGTATATGTATTTATTCTCATATACCAGGATAAACCAATAGTATGACAAAGTAACTAACAGTGTGTTAATAGCTAGTAGTGATTCTCACGAGACCAACGAGACGAGATTTTCAAAAGTCTTGTCTCGTCTCGCGGATGAAATGGAAAGTCTCGTCTCGAGTCTCGTCTCGCAACCTCCAGTCTCGTCTCGTCTCGCATCTCGTACGAGAGTCTCGTAAAAGTATCGAAGTCTCGTCATGCATAATCTTATTGTTTCAGTGCAATAAGGAATATTTAAATACCTGCTACAATGTAAGAGTTGGAAGAGAAATTACAACTGTTGAAAGATAACATCATATATTATTTGAAAGTACGAGTCTATAAGCAGAATAAAAACTTATTTTAAACATTAATACATTAATAAAAACTGTATTTTATTAAAAATGAAATAAGTAAAAATTCATTTTCAGTTACATTGTCACTCAAACTAATATTGTCTGGTACGTAACTATCGTCACTTCCACTAGAAAAATCACCGGATTTTGATTCATCTTCTAAAGCCAAAAGTTCACATTTTTTTCTCTTGAATCTGCTCATTTTGAATTAACTTGTCACAACTCCGCACGTTCAAAAATTCGAATAACTACTATCGAACAGAACCGAACAACAAATAACCAAATTTGGAAGAAATCAGCCGCCGTCGGCTTATTTCAAAATAGAAATTAATTAAAGCCGGCGGCTCACGCCGGCCGCCTATATATGCCGCCGGCCTTTTTCCCTTTTGTAAATCCCGTCTATATTATAGATCATCTATAAATACATACATACATTAGGATTTTTATGATGATAATAATTGTATCCTGTGTATATTTTATAATTTTTACTTTTCGTTTAGTCTTGAGTTTTTTAAAGCGTAGTGGATACAATACCTTCATTAAAAAAATGTTTTATATTTTTTTTTATTTTGAAAATATGTATTATAAAGACGCGGATTATAAAAAGTTGTTTTAATTACATTTTAATTATTTTTTCAAGTCCGCCCGTAGAAATATTCACTTGCAAGACTCTCGTACGAGACCGCGAGAATTCTCGCACGAGACTCGAGACGAGACCAATAAAAGTCTCGTCTCGCATTGTCCGAGTATCGTCTCGAGTCTCGTCTCGAAAACGAGACGAGACTATGCGAGACTCTCGCAAACGAGACTCTCGCGCGAATCACTAATAGCTAGAGAAGTATTCGAACTTTAACAG